CATTACGCACACAGAATTTTAGCCTTGTATCTCTCACTCCCTCCCATTGCACAAAAGGAAGCACCATACAGAAACAGAAATACTGATGTAACAATTGAAAAAGCATCATATTTTCATATGTAATCAGAGTCGAAAATACGACAACATAAAGAAATGCTTGAAGGAAAATAAAGCATCATATACGCAATATTTATGTGGTATTACCCACCAAGTTTCTCTTGTTGACATAATTTATGATCTTCCCTGGTGGTGCTGAAATAGTAAGCTTTAAATTCCCTTCACCAACTTCAATGGCTGGTTTTTCACCCATCTGAAATTTGTATATAGATGATTTGGTTGATCCAGCTCCTGAAATCAGACAGAAACAGATTGCAACAATCTATTTGCATATTTAATAGCATCCATACTAGTTTAACTAGATAAGGAAAAGCTATATGAGTAAACCTGTCTGTTTAGAAATAGAGATGGTGTAAGTGCTGAAGCCAAGAGGTGGCACAGAGACTGTGAATGCAAGCCAATAATTAGGTACAGCATTTGGGTTGCTACCTAAATATGCCCTAGCATAATAGTTCCTTAGATCCACATAGGCATCAACTATTGGAACAAGCTGTGATTCAATTTTTCTTCCCTCAGAATCACGAACAATAACATCTTCATTAACAACCTACAGCAAACCAGAAAAACGAACGTGATTTCCTAAAAGCAACAAAGCCATATAGTCAAATAGAGATCTCACTAACATTTTCGTTGGTCCACTTTGATCACCTAATTAAATAAGATGCATGCCAAACAACAAGTCTGGCTGCTTTATTAGCAAATGGTTTTAGACATAAAGTTACCTGCATTTGAAGCAATGCTGCTCCACTTCAGTTATGAATGTTGGATATGGATGAATGTCCATCACGGATCTATTCAATTTTATAAGGTTTTTCCTTACCCTCATAACCATGTCCATCACGGATCTATTCAATTTTATAAGTTTTTTTTTCCTTACCATCACAAACATGACCACTTTGATTTCCAAAACTGGTACTTCATGAAAAATAAAGGGCTGAAGCAATAGAGATTTTAAGTATCACACAATTAAATTTACAAAGTTTCATGAATAGATAACATGTGTCAACAGAATATTATGCTACGAGCTCCTTAATTTGACGGAGGAGAAGGAGAGAGGAGTGCAAGGCAAATAGAAACGGAGGTACTTACAGGAAAACGTACTACATCCTCTCTTTTCCATCCCAAAGAATTGTAGATCACAACAATCTGTCAACGGAAAGAACATAAAACCTTATTTATCTAAGAATTATTTATGAGATTAAACAACATAAGACATGGAATATTCCTTCTTACCAAGTTCTTTCCATGAGACAGGTCAGTCTCTGATGCAGGGCAGTAAGTTATATTCAGAAGTGGGCACTAGCAAAAGATTAAAGAGGGTGATAAAAAGGCACATCTCACATGTAAATTTCATATCATAATTTAGATTGAAAATCAACTGTCTTACTCATGAAACTAAATTCCATCAGTCATAACAATTACCTGCTGAAAATTGGTGGTTGAGTCCCCACATCCCATGGATGACTTCGAATCAGTTAAGCAAGCAAGTGATGATGCAACAACGCTCTCAGCCTTAACAAAGATAATAAACAAGTTTACAAATTCAGACCAAAGTGAAAAGAAACAATATCCAAGAAAATTGTAAGGACCAAGTTCAGACCTCTTTGTAGCCTATTGATAGCCTTTTTGCATAATCATAGGCCACGTGCTGCTTCTCAGTACCTGTAACAGCATCATGATGTTGAGCAATAGCCAAAGCATCTGCCAATGAGTCCGTATTTTGCCGTGAATTATTCCTCCCTTTGAAAAATTCAAGTTGCCTTGCTGCCTGATCATATATTCACATATATGAACTGTGTATATGAAAAGATTAATTGAACTATAACATATTAAAATGGAAAAAGAATAGTACCAGATAGTAGCCACTCATTATTCTAACATAGAATTTTAAAGCTGGTCTACTTGTAAAGTATCCTGTCCAGTAAGCATTCACACGATCTGCATAACTGGTAAGAAGTACATTTTAATTTCTTAGAAAATACAAACCATGAGAACGAGGATTCTGAGATTCTCAAGGAAAAAACTCACGGAAAGTAGTCATCAATTTTGAGCGGCCAAGATTTACTTGTAGCATATTTAGCGTCAGTATACATGGAAGGAGTGGAGTAGAGAGCATTGACACGTCCATCCTGCAAGTGTTCATTAAAAACCACTTGAAATAATGGTTCGGACCAATAGTATGACAACCAAAGAGGACAAAAACATACCAGGTAAGGCATGCTTAAAATCCAGTCACCAGAAAAATGAAAGAAACTAGAGATTCTCACCTTATTCACATAATGAATAAGCTTGTCCAAGTTCCGGAACCAAGTATGTGCATACTGATACTTAAAATCTGTACCCATGGTCCACATTATGTGGTTTGTTCTGGTTATGTTTGCCTGCAGATGAAATATAAGCTTTTACAATAAGTATTAAATGAATGCTTTCAGGATCAATATGGACAATTAAATCAAAGATAGGATTCTTGAAGTTAAAAGACAACATAGTTTCCAGATATCTTAAGAATACACCAGCCATTCTGTGGCAGACTAGTAACTAAGGAAGATTATATAAAATAATGTTTAGTTTTAAATGGATAAAGATTAGGATACTTATTCCTCAAAAAAAAAAGATACTTCTCACAGCAGAAAACAGATTTTTGGTGCAACCAGTACTAGGGTGGGTACTTCTAAGTGAGGTCAAACTTAATACTTATAATGGCCATCTTCATGATTAAAACTAATAGCAGAAACTTTGCTAGAACAGATATTTGTCATCTCATAAACTAGACCTATAATTTCAACATTGCCATAGTATTAAAAAGGAGAAAGAAAAAAGGAAATATTTTACCAAGGAAAAAGATATCCTATGATTATCAAGACGAAATAGCATGAGAAGCAAAAGCAAAAACCTTAAGAGAGTTCCTTACAAAACCAAATTTCAATCAAATAGACAGCAAGGAAACCAAGACAGAAAATTCTTCATGCGGTAATTTAATTTCATTTACCTGTGCTATAGCAGCCGCAACAAAGTCATTAACTCTGTCTTGGACATTGTAATCAAACAGATCGACATTATCCTACATCAGATGCAACCATATTTACACTAGAACCAACTACATACTCAAGAGCCAAGAAACTGCCTAAACGAACATAATTCTATGAAGCTTACTTGAACAACAGGGGAATCAGCATTAACTTCAAAGTAGAAACCTGATGGAGGTTCATAATTTTCAGGGAATGCTCCAGCAAAAATCTGCACCACATCTAAGTGAATATTAACTGAAGAATAATGGAATTATGACATACACCCCCAGCCACATTTTGAAAGGTAAATAAATCAGTAAATGCAAAGTTTAAGTACAAGAAGTGACATCCGAAACTAATCATGTATACCCAAATAGAAGAAAACCAAATAATGAGTTTCACCTGAGCAGATGAGCCCAGGCTCTTAGAACCCCGCCAAATAACTTCGAGACTCTTCTCTTTTTTTCGCTTAATCCTGTCTTGGTAGTCTATGCGGCCAAAGAAAAATGAGTCGAACCCAACCTACAAAAATAAAAACACAATATCTAAACTATGCTGCTTGAAAGTGGGAAACACTAGCTAGAAGCAATAGTTATGGGGTAGACTTACATCTGCGCCCAATAAGTAAGCCTGTACTGCAGAATGTCCAAAAGGATCAATTTGCCATCCAATTCTTGGAGTGATACCAAACTCCTCTTTAAGGAACCGATGTCCAAGAGTTGTTTGATCAATCATATCTATATAATGTGGTACTGCCTCATCATGCATGCACATGCCCCCATTTCTGAAGAATCAGAGGAAGAGAATGTGGGGAAGTACGAACTCATTGGGATATGATAGAAAATAATGGGATTTTAGACATGCAACTTAGGGGGTTAAAAAAGGGTTTATGTCACGAATTACATGAACTCCAGTTGACCCGAGCTGACAAGTTTCTTGACTATACTCTGAGTTTGCTCACTCTGATCTCTCCACCACCGCTGAAAAAATGCCTGCACAAATCAAGTAAGACAATCACAACACGAACATGGCATGTGACACATGCAACCACATATCTCTTGCTAGTGCAGTCCGGCATAACCTTCAACTTTGTAATGAAGCGTTGTAGACAAGGAATACGAGAATAGAAGGTTGGGCTTCGAGGAAAAATTTATACTAAGATCAGAAAGATTTCATTTTTCATACATGCCTTTGGCAACCACATGCCACTCAATTGAAGAGAGAATAACCACCACCACCACACACAAAAAGAAAAAAACGTAAACTCTTGCCTGCTCAACATAAATGAATTTCCGGTTTTTGTCAGCCAACAGTGCCGGCACTAGAGAATCCAACACATTCTGCACACAAGCCCCCTAAAAAAGAGTAAAAAGAGAAAAATATTTATAAACAAATTGATAAATATATAATCTTCAAGAGAGAAACATAGAGTGGAAGGAGAAAGATCCCACCTGGATGGAATTGTTAGAGCCAACATAATATTGATCAACGGTTTTTAACCAACCGACATCGTCATGGGTGTGAGGAACCAAATGAACATTGATTTTCCCAGCATCTATTCCTGCTGAAGTGTTATAAACCATGTACTTGGATTCTGCACATAAAACCCCCAATAACAGCACCAGGCCGATCAACTCGACCATACCCATTTTTTGTAGTTTAGTTCTGAGTGGGTTCTTTGAGATTTTAGCAGTTTTCAGCCGCTGGTTTGAGTTAGGAGAATGGAAACAAGTTTTGGCTTCAAGTGTCAGGTGCTTTAGGCTTTAGACGTCATAAAGCTAAATGAAATGGAAAGCAACGATTTTCAGCAAACACTGGCTTTCCTGTAAGAAAGGGGGAAAAGCCTAGCAGGTGAAGACTCACACAAACATTTGTAAAGAAGATGGAACTGCCATTGTTTTCACTATTTTGTTTTGACTTCACTTCTTCATTAACATTAGCTGCACCGCAGTTATTTAATATTCAGGGTAAACTAAATATGTAGTATTTTATTTTATTTTTCATTCTGTTAAAATATTAATAGAATTTTAACAGTTTTTATCTTTTTAATAATAATATGTTATTATTTTACTATGACACATTAACATATAATTAATTTTATTAACAGTGAGTGACTAAAATAAAATTAAATATTAAATATAATTTAAAAAATAATTAAAAAATTCAAAATAAAATAAAAGTGATAATTGACCTACTAAATATATAATTTACTCTATTATTTATTATCTTATTATATGAACAATACCAGTGGTTCAGTGTGCTTCTTCCTATCCAAACCTATATTTTAAAAAATACTAACTAAATATATATTTTAAGATTTGAATTAAATATTTTTAATTAAATATTTAATTTTTGGATTGATTCTAATTTAATACTTGAATTTAAATTAATATCTTAATTTTATTTTTTTTCTAAACTAATACTTATGATAAATGATATATATATATATATATTAATTTAAATCCTAAAATTAAATTGAAGTATAATTAAAAGTATTCTAGAGGATGAGTATATATATATATGTGTGTGTGTGTGTGAACACACTACTAAGGAAAGATGTTAGGATGTGATAAGTATATTCATATTAGACTTGTTAAAAATATTATTTTTATAAAAAATTATAATAAATATATATATTTGAATATATATATATATATAAAGTTGTATAAATGTCATATGGAATAACCATACTTGTCATGGAAGAAGCATTTTAATTTATCGATTCAAGCACGAACCAAGTTACTTAAGTGGTTAAAAAATAGTTGTTATTTTTAGAGGTATGAAGTTTAAGCACCAACGTCAACAAGGATGTTGAGCATTCACTGTCAAATGGTTGAGAGTATTTATAACATATATCATCTTGTAATCATCTTAGTTTAATAAAAAATTATTTATTCAATAACTTAATTAATTTAATAATTTAGGCTAAATGGCCAGTGTTGCCCCTGTAGTAAACCAAATTTATCAATTTTCCCCTTATTTTTGCATCAATGTAGCTTTTGAAGTTGTTTCATTGCATCAAATTATACCGTTGACCATCTTTACTAACGAAACCGTTAGCTTCTGCTTATGCGGACGCCAGATGTTTCCACGTCAGCCAGTTTTACTGATGTGGCTTGAAGATGACATGACATTTATTAAAAATAAAAAATAAAAAGGATCAGTGTTGGCCCTGTAGTAAACCCAAATTATCAATTTTTCCCCTATCGTATTTTCGCATCAATTTAACCCTCGAAGTTATTTAGTTGTATTAAATTATATCGTTGATCGTTTTGCTCCATCGGTCAGTCACCAGCCACCTTCGAGCATCAGTGACCATTGCTCTGGCTAACGTCGCTGACCACCGTTCGAGACCCAAAATACATCATCAAAACTGGCTCACGCTCCATGTCATGGATCCAACCTTTAATCACTCAAATACATCGTTGATCATCGTAGATCTAGCAACAACCAATCGATTTTCTCTATAAAAAAGGCTTCCTCTCATCACCAGAAACCGTCTGATGGAGCCATCTTCACATCATGTTGCTCATCGATGTCATTCCAACCTTTTCACCGCACGGATCTTCCAACCGACGTCTAGATCGTCGAAAAATGACAAACTCACCCTATTGACTTCTCTATTTCTCTTATTCTTGCTTCGATTGGTGTTGATTTTATGATTATTACTTTTGCATATCGCTACATGAAAGATAAGGGTAGCTATGGTCGTTGTTGTTGTCATCCGTCGAGGGTGATACTGTTGCTAAGGAGGCCATCAACTACCTGCCATAGTTGTTAGTTTGGTGGTAGTTTACTGAGAGTTTAGGTAGATGAGTATTTAGTTGTAGGTCGTTGAACCATCGATTGGGTTAGTCAAGACAGTCAACGATATAATTTGATGCAATTAAATAACTTCGAGGCATAAATTGATGCGAAAATACGATAGGGACAAAATTAATAGATTGAGTTTACTACAGGGGCAACATAAACATTTTTATTTTATTTTTTTAATAAATGCCATATCATCATCAAGCCATGTTAGCAATATTAGGAAACAATTGGCGTCCACATAAATAGAAGCTAACGGTTCCATTAGGCAAGACGATTAATGGTATAATTTGACGTAATTAAACAACTTCGATGGCTAAATTGATGCAAAAATGCGATAAGGACGAAATTGATAAATTGAGTTTATACATGGGCAACACTGACCCTTTAGTCAATAATTTAATAGTCGATACTCAATAAAACAATACATTATAGTCGAAAAATCATTTTATAAATTTTAATAGTCGAATAATGATGAATTTGTATTTTATCCTTAATTATTACAATTATGTGAAGTAAAAGGCACACAAGGTCTGGGTTTTGACCTTTGCGTGTCGAATGAGCGAACTCTCGCATTGAATTGCTTAAATTAACTTGAGCAATTATATTGTTGGATAAATTATTAGTGTACCTATCTATGACTATGATTATGTTATGCTCTTTTTTATGGATTGAACTCTAAGTAAAATAATATAAAAATATGTTATGAAATTTTCAATTTACAACGTGTGAACCATCCTTGTATCCTTCCCCTTTAAAAAATGTTACTTTTCATCTCTCCTTTCATTTTCCTTCACCTTTTGCTACTTCCCACCGACCACTAAGAAAAGCACTTCATGAAGATAGAAATACTACACATTTTACTACTTTTGCCAATACCGCCTCTTCTCGGATGCTTTAATATCAAAAGTGGATACGATCATAAATGTATGAAGGATGGAAATGGGTTAAATCGGGTTAAGTCTTATTTTTTGCCCACCTAAATTTAATCTTAAAATTAAAATAATTTACACGTACGTATTCGATCTAACTCGAGTTTAGAAGGGGCTTCATCCAACACAAAATCCTTAGGTTTAAACATGCACCCGACCTATACATATATATAATTTTTATTAGGTGAAATAGACACCTAAATAAAAACAAAAATGAATATTATTATAATTATTATTAAATATATAAAAAATAATTATGATATTATGTTGAATCAAATCGAGTCAATTTTTTTACCTTAAACTCAAACTTGACCTGACTTGACCACACCCTAAAAGAATCCAACTTGGCCTAAACTTGAATTTTCAAAATAAAAAATTGACATTATCGAATCGAGACCCATATAAAATTGCCCTTCCCTAAATGTACCCTCGATCCCTTTTAACTATATTAGTCTATACGTACAACAATATTAAGAAAACAAATTCTCTCTTTCAACCACCAAAGATTTGTGTAATCACCTATTTTATCCCCTTCTATTATAATTATTATTATAAAAACCTTTATTAAAATATATAACCAAATATCCATTAAAAGCCTGGTTGCAAATCAAAACCTAAGTTTTTACCCATGACATAAAACCCAAGTGGCCCCAACGGTTAAAGCCCCACAGTAGTGGCCCATATGATTTAGATCCAAAAGATAAGGATTTTGTGATTTTCTCCCAGTCGTACAAATCACAACTGATGGATAAAGGACGGATCCAACGGTTCAGAACATTAAAAGATAGATCTGAAAGAACTCCTAATAGATGAAGTTGTAGTCGCCGCCATAACATTCTAAATCTATTTTTCGAAATTATCTTACTTTAACATTTAAATTATTTCCTAATAATAACCCTATACAAAAATAGGTGTCTACAACATAACATTCTAAATCTATTTTTCAAACTTATTTCACCTTAGCATTTAAATTGTTTCCTAAATTGTTTCTTTTAACCTCAAAATATTTTAAATTTAGTTGTATTTTTATATTTATATTTTATATTTTACATTTTTAAATTTCATTTTTAATTTATGTAATTTGGATTTATAAATTTTATGTTTAGATTATATATTATGGACTTTTAAGTTTTATATTTTATGCTTTTTTCATGTGTTTTTTAATACTATAAATTAAAGAAATAAAATAAAATAAATATTAATTGGGTATCTGGGACTCGAAAATGCGGGTATTCGGGTTTTACAGGTACCTACCTATTACGAGCTAGGATACATGTCGAGTTTTTGAGACCCGAAAGTTTCAGGTACCTGACATTTTAGGTACCCAAAATGAGGGTATTCGAATATAAACACCCCTACATATAAAAATATAATTTGGCCTAACAATTTTATCAACAAGATATGTGATTAGCATATATGTATAGTTTAGGGTAAAATTGAAATATTCAAAAAGTTTGAGGACCAATTTCAAATGATAGTCATAGTTTAAGGATAAAATTAAAATATTTAAAAGTTTAAGGACAAATAAAAAACAAAGATCATACTTTGAGGATATGTGATGAAATTAACTCTTTTTATAATATTCTAAAACCCGTGTCTGCACAATAAAAGCACCAATAAATCAGGCCAATTGACAAAGGAAGGTTCAAGGAAATGGTAGTTGGAGAATCTTTAAACCCCAAAAATAAATAAATAAATAAATAAATAAAATCATAGGTTTGCTCTCTCTTTGCAGTTATCTTTATTACTGGGAGGGAATAGGCTCCTCAACCACAAGTGTTGAGGCATAATAATATATATCTAAGTAGTACAATTCGTTACAAATAAAAGCAATCATACTAATATGGCGTCTCACCATGTGTTTAAATTAAACAATGAAAGTGGTAATACTAATACTATACAAGCAGCATGCCTTCCTGATTCATGCTGATGCATAATAACACAATTTAAAATGTTAATAAACTACTATTGCCTCTATCTGACTTCTTTGCTTTTCATTTTATTAATTATTTCAGTTGAACCGCCCAAAACCCGGTTTCTCTTGTCCCGCGTCAAAACCGTGGGAATATCTATTTATTAAGGGTATATTGTATATTTAATACCTAAACTATTACTTTTATTCCGTTTTAGTACTTAAACTTCATTTTTTTTCTCAAAACAAAGCTTAACGTCTAGTTCAAGTTTCATTTTTGTACTCCGTCATTAAAATATTAACGATGATATTGACGTGACACCATAATTTAATGTCACATCATCATTAAAAATTAAAAATATTACTTCAATAATTCTGTTAAATTTTCAACGACGAGTATCATAAACTAAATGTTAGGTACGATTTTGAGAAAAAAATCAAGTTTAGGTACCAAAATATAATAAAAGTAATAGTTTAGATATTAAGCGTATAGTTTACCCATTTGTTAATTATTCACGCAAATTGTTCTTGTCTTCCAACCATAAGTATCACAATGCAACAACAACAACAATATGCTTTTAGGATTAGGAGTAAGGCCATCCACTCTTCCGTTCCTTGAAAAGTCAATCATCCCCATCGTACGGTCAAGAAATTTACTTTAATAAATAATCTAAGCATTATTATTAAAACAATTCCAGCAATACAATTATGATTTTAACACTAATATATTCTACGCTCAACAAATTTATTAACATATTAAAATCGCACGATACTTTGAACCCACAAATAATAAAATTGAAAAATAAAATTTCTCTAATGAATTATTCAAAAATAAATTAAAATACTATAAGCAATTAATAACAATAACATAATTATTTTGCGCTGATTAACTTAAATTCAATTTCAAGATGTACAGATTATAAAATGGAATAAGAGGGGAATTCAATGCAAGATAAATAAATATAGAGCGATAAAAAAACGTTAACATTTAATGCCTAATTACCCTTTTAATCATTTTGTTTTTCATTGCTTACTGCTTAGCTGCCTCAATTCTATTATTTTAGGGGATAATGTTTTATTGGCAGGGTAAATTACAAATTTACTGATTTAACTTTTTTCTCTCTCCTATTTCACTCATTGTACTTTTAATTTTTTTCAATTTACTCATTGAACTTTCGATTTACTTATGTTTTTGTCATTATAATTTTTTTTTAGTATTTTGGTATGGCATGACATTTTTATTACTATCTAATAACAAATAATTTAAAATATAAAATTAAACTCAAATGTTTGTCATCCACTGTTCATCTTTGTTGGATGCTACCATTGAAAATTGTAGATGGTGGTCGTTCGGTCTCAAGTTTCATCAACTGCTTCGTCTTGCCCCCTTGAGTCCAAATATGACATTCATTTTATTGAAATGTGATTTGAAGTCCACAATTAAGGGATCAAAAGAAATTAAACGTTTCAATCAAGAATCACGTGTTTTGGGATATTTTCCGGTGAAATAACCACCAAATTCGGACCTTGTGTGTCAACGTGAGTCTCCCGATAAAATTTGGTATCAAACGACCATCGATACTAAAGGCCAAAGGTGGTCAACGATGACGATAAATGACAGTAATTATTTTAAATATTTTTAATTTTAATAATAAAAATTTATTTTATTATTTATTTTAAATTATTTTTATATTTAATAATATTTAGAAAAATATCATGTAATAAAAAATAATAAAATAATATACAGGGACAAAAATGTTCAATAAATAAAGTTCAGTAAGTAAATTGATAAAATTAAAAGTACAATTAGTGAAATAGGAGAGAGAGAGTAAAGTGAGTAAATTTGTAATTTACCCTAATTAGTATTGTATAGATATGAAAATTTTAAGGGTAAATTATATGTTTATTATCCCAACTATCACTTTTGTTTCGTTTTGATAACCCAACTATTTTTTAAATCATACATAATGTTTAATTTTGGTCACCCGCTGTTAAAAAATTAACAGAGATGTTGATGTGTCACCATAAGATAATATCATGTTATCATTAAAAATAAAAAAAATGTCACATCAATAATTCTATTAATTTTTTAACGACAAGTGACCAAAATATACGAAAATGTAATGTCATGTATGATTTAAAAAAGAAGAAGTTAATTGATCAAAATGGAACGACAGTGATAGTTGGAGTGCTAAATGTGTAGTTTACCTAAATTTTAATTTGGTCTTAGTCTCATAGAATAGATGAATAATTGAAGAAAAATATATAAGACAAAGCATTATCATAATATATATATATATAGGAGGACATTATCATAACAAATAAAGACCAGAAATACATAAGCAATTTTAGATTTACATGGAAGGTATGCGCATCAGTTTATTAGAATAATACCTGCAGGATTTGTTGGCTGGAGGAATGGGAGTGGGAAATTGAGATTTGTGTTTGGAAGTCGATAGTAGAATTCAGCACTCTATTTTCATTCATTAAGTTATAGAAGAACCCAAGACTCCTTCACTCCGAGTCTACTACTTTCAATGGAGCCAGAATCTGGAATCTCGATTCCTTCTCCTCCTCGAAATCCTTCCCCGGTTAGTCTTCACTTATTTATCTATTTCTTTGATTTTGAATCTTGTTCTTCCTTGTTTTTTTTAATTTGTTATCTGCTTGATGCATCTCGCTTAGCTTAGCTTTGCCTATCTGCTTCTTCTTAATCCCGCCAACACTTTCAATTCACTTTAGGTCGTAGCTTCCTTCTTTATTTTAGTCGGCTGTTTGATTGAGTTAGCATAGATTCTTATCAACGATTTACACACTATAAGTCTTTTTTTTTACTAACCTAACTTCTGCTCCTTTTCACCTTACTTTGCTTTCCATGTGATATGTTTTCTTTCTTTTTAATATAACATGTATTTAAGTTTGGAATATTTTAAACACCCCTCATGGATTGCCGCTTGATTATAGGAAAGGTTAAAAAAATCAGTTTTGTCCATCTTCTGTATTCCAGTTCAATTCTGTGGCAAAATTGAGAAACTCAAATGCCATGTTTTGTCTGGAGAACGGTGGAAAAGTTTAATAGTTGAGAAATGGGATTCATAAACAGATCACTTATCCCCAAAAAAAAAATTGTAAACAGATTGTAATTTGTTGCTCAACCCTTGTGTTTTAATTTTTTTTCCTTTCCTTCCCTTTTTCATTTCTACCAAATGGGGTGTAACTGTTTTATGGGATAAAATTTCAACTTTGACTATTTTCATATGCTATTGTGTTTTTTAAACCTCTTTTGGCTTCCTTCTCTTTATGCCACTGACAGCTCCTCTCCCCTTATATTTTCTAAGCTTCGAATTACACAAGTTTTGACCTGCTTCCTGAGGACATGAACAATTATTCTACAGAATCAGTGTGTCCTGTTCCTACTTCAACCATGCCATTAATTACATGTTAATCACTGCAACAAAAGTATCGATCTAATGTCTACTGTTGAAAACAACTTTTTGGAAATCAATATGAGGGCATAGTTACAATTTGCAATATGCATATGATAAATTTGGCTTTAATTCCTAATATTAGAATTCTTTCGTGATTTTTTTTCTACTCAATATTTTCTATTTGACCACTGCTTGAGTTGGAGTCTATGGTTTAGGTATGCTTTGGCATAAATCATGGCATTAACATTTTTTTTGAAACCGTAAGTTGTTAAGTACCTTTATCACTTTGCAGCTTTCGTGGGTCAATCTCTCCAGGAACCTAATATTAGCATATCAGAGCTTGGGGGTGGTGTATGGAGACCTGAGCACTTCACCTCTTTATGTTTACCGTAGCACGTTCATAGGGAAGTTGCAGAGTCATCAGAATGAAGATGCAATATTTGGAGCATTTTCCTTGATTTTTTGGACCCTTACACTGATACCCCTTCTCAAATATGTGTTTATTGTGCTGAGTGCTGATGATAACAGAGAAGGTGTGGTGAACCATTAAACTTCACAGTGGATATTACTCTCTTATAAAACTTTGGCTAAACATTCACAAGCTTATTTATATGAATTCTTATCAGGTGGCAGTTTTGCTCTCTACTCGCTGCTTTGTAGGCATGCTAAGTTTAGCTTGCTTCCCAATCAGCAAGCAGCTGATGAAGAGCTCTCTGCTTACAAATATGGGCCCTCAGCACAGGCCACTGGTTCTCCATTGAAGCGATTTTTGGAGAAGCATAAAAGGCTAAGGACAGCACTTCTTGTTGTCGTACTCTTTGGTGCTGCTATGGTCATAGGTGACGGCGTGCTCACTCCAGCAATATCAGGTAGTTATTAATATGACTAACTAAAATTGAATATTGCAAATTCTTAGGTTACTATCTTTGTGGCTGTGCATTACAAAGTTTTAATACTTTTTCTTTCCTGGAATTTTTCTTTAACATATGTGGCTCGTAAGTATAAAAAAATTATTGATGCTAGCTTTTATTATGTTAATATGATTGTGATTGAAGTTTCTCATCTTGAGAAGAAATTTTGATGAAGAGCTCTGCAGATATTTTGCATATAAAAAAACAAGAGGTTTCTATTAGTAACTTTGCTGATACTTCACCTTTCATAGACATAGTTCTAAAAGTTGACCCAAAACTAGAGGAGATGGTTTAGCGAATCCTTTCCCTCGAATTTGCTTGTCTGAACTGTGAATTTACTGAAAAAGAGGAGAAAGTTTACTGGAAGAGAAAATTTCTCTTCTCTTCATTCTGGTAATGCAAGTAAACAGCCTTGTTAATATAGGTTGTGTATACAAGAGTAGAGTCCTATTTAGATTAGTTCTACTAAGTTACATCTTTATCTAAAAGTCTTATCTTAGTAGATATTTATCTTATATCCTAACTAGATAAACCTAATCATAAAATACATATTAAATTCGGATTCATTCTACATGATCCATTTACTAAACCACCCAATCGATGTGGCTTGCATGCCTTATTAGAATTTTTACAGCTATGTTGATACATTCGGTGTGCATATTTCTCAATAGGACATAGTTGACCTCCAATGATTTAGTTTTGGGGGACCCTCGTCAGAAATACTTTCATGACCATATCAGTGCAATTGTGGACTTCCATAGTTGCACTTGTCAATAGGTTGCATGAATTCTACTGCCTATAATTTATTGTTTGCAGTAGATGCTATTTGACATTTTCAGATTCTGAGATTCCAATGATTTTGTTGCTGTACATGTATGTGTTCCTTTTCATCCTTAATTGGCTCTGCTAATGATTTCTCTCTCAATGGTTAAGGGGTTAAATGTTTTTACATATGCAGTTCTGTCATCAGTTTCTGGACTTGAAGTTACTGAAAGCAAATTAACCAAGGGTAATTCAACTCTCAATTTTGATCTTTTTTCCCTCTATTATTTCTATTAAGTCTAGGGTTCAACAATTTGTCTTGACATTTTCTTTTTCCCATAGAACTTAATAGCTTGGATTTATTTTTGAACCTAGGTGCACTTGTCGTGCTTGCTTGTGTCATACTGGTCGGCCTATTTGCTCTGCAGCATGTTGGTACTCACAGGGTAGCTTTTATGTTTGCACCAATTGTGATTATCTGGCTGGTTTCAATTTTTTCCATTGGCTTTTACAACATAATTTATTGGAACCCGAAGATTGTTCATGCAATTTCTCCATATTATATTATCAAGTTCTTTAGGGAGACCGGTAAAGATGGCTGGATTTCTCTTGGAGGGATCCTTCTTTCAGTAACTGGTAAACGACTACAGCATGGCTTTTATTTTAATTGACTTGATGGTTGTTGATTTGAATTTGCAATCATGTTCAATTTTTGGGTCTCACCAGGCACTGAAGCTATGTTTGCAGACATTGGTCATTTCACTGCCTTATCGATCAGGGTAAGAGTAATTCCTTCTTTGTTCGTATTATTTTTTCGCTCCTGACATGTGGTAGCAAACAGTGGATTGAATGTAAAAGTGTTCCATACCCTTGCCATGTAATCTTAACCCTCTTGCCATTTTAATCTCCGCTTTGGAATTTAATAATGAAGTAATGAACCTTTGACTGATATATTAGACTTGATAATTATCCTGATTGTGCAGCTTGCATTTGCATTTTTGGTATACCCATGTTTGGTTGTTCAATACATGGGTCAAGCTGCCTTCTTGTCAAGAAACCTGCAAAAGATTCCTAACAGTTTTTATGACTCAATTCCTGGTTAGTGCAATCTGTCATCAGCCGTTTTGCTTCTAAACATTGTTATAACATCCAAGTTTGTGTAATTTTTCATTTTATCATTGCAGGTCCTGTTTATTGGCCTGTCTTTGTAATTGCCACCCTTGCAACTATTGTTGGGAGTCAGGCCATTATAACTGCCACTTTTTCGATAATTAAACAATGCCATGCCCTTGGATGCTTCCCTCGAGTTAAAGTTGTTCACACCTCAAAACATATATTTGGCCAGATCTACATCCCAGAAATAAATTGGATACTCATGATACTTACTCTTGCCATAACTGTTGGATTCCAAGATACAACTTTAATTGGAAATGCTTATGGTAATTCATTCTCTAATAGCTTCTCCCATTCTCAAAATTCTTGATAAAAATATGATAAAATAATAAATAAACTTGTGCACTTAACTATTCGGTAAATTTATTATGGCTTACATAGAGTGTGAGTACTGTTAGTGGTCACATAGTTCAGATTCTAGAGATTGTTACTAACTTGCATCGACTCGGCTGTTGTACTTGTCTTTGGAAATGATGTTTCTTATTTGATCTTGGTTTTCAGGACTTGCTTGCATCACGGTGATGTTCATTACAACATTTCTCATGTCTCTTGTGGTAATCTTTGTTTGGCAGAAAAGTGTTTTGCTTGCTGCAGTGTTCCTTGTATTCTTCTGGTTTTGTGAAGGGGTTTACTTATCAGCAGCACTCACGAAAGCGCCTCAAGGTGGATGGGTGCCTCTTGTGCTGTCAGTCATCTTTATGATGGTTATGTACATATGGCACTACGGGACTCGCAAGAAATACAACTTTGACTTGCACAACAAAGTACCGCTGAAATGGTTGCTCGGGTTGGGTCCTAGCCTCGGTATCATGCGTGTGCCTGGGATAGGCCTTATTTACTCTGAACTGGCTACGGGAGTCCCTGCAATCTTCTCCCACTTTGTCACAAACCTTCCAGCGTTCCATAAGGTGTTAGTTTTCATTTGTGTAAAATCAGTTCCAGTCCCATATGTTTCACCAGAAGAGCGCTTTCTTATCGGCCGGGTGTGCCCTAGGCCATATCGTATGTATAGGTGTATTGTTAGGTATGGGTACAAAGATATCCAGCGAGACGATGGGGATTTCGAGGACCGTCTTATACAAAGCATAGCAGAGTTCATCCAGATGGAAGCTGGAGAACCACAGGTATGCAGTTCTGAGAGTTCATCGAATGATGGCAGGCTGGCCGTTATAAGTAGCAGGACCGTCCAATCAAGCTCGAGTTTGATAGTTACTGAGAATGAGGATTATGGTGGTATCGAGTCCATACAAAGCAGCAAATCCCAAACGTTACAGAGCTTGCGAAGTGCTTACCCTGATGATGAGAATCAAACAGTGCGGAGGAGGTGTGTGAGGTTCGAAGTAGCATCGAGTCCAGGTATGGATACGAGTGTGAGAGAAGAGCTGATAGATTTGATAGAGGCAAAGGAAGCAGGGGTAGCATATATAATGGGACATTCGTATGTGAAAGCGAGGAGAAGTTCATCGTATTTGAAAAAGGCGGTGGTAGACATGGGGTATTCATTTCTCAGAAAGAACTGCAGGGGGCCTGCGGTAGCACTAAATATTCCTCACACCAATCTGATTGAAGTTGGAATGATATATTATGTGTAGTTTAGTGTATAATGCAATCTAGTTAGTGCTGTGTAGCGTGCTGATTATTAGAAGAAGAAAAATCAGAAATTGTTGGTTAACATTATTATTGTTATTATTAGCCTTAATATAAAAATAAGTGTCCACATTATATTATTTTTTTTAAATTGTGGTTAAATTTTTTTAGTCAATTCAGGTGTCTAACGTTACAAACTTTACTACTTTAGATGTATTATTTGCAACGGCCGTTTAAAAACTTCGTTAAGTGACACGTGTTGAGTTTAGATAATTTAATATATATATATATATATATATACATATATATATATAACTGAAAAAAAAACTCTTAAAAATATTTTCTATTAAAAAAGCCAATTTTTTAGAAATATTTAAAAAAACCTAAAACTTTGAAAAACCTAATTCCAATCTCAATACTCACGTTCCCTTTTGTTGTCATTGTCGTTAGTCAAACCTTCGGTTGATTGAACTCCATCGATGACCAAGCCATCGGACGACCCAGTCACCCGATGAACCCCCACTCAACGAATCAAACACGATAAATCCCTAATTGAGACAATTCGACGACAATCACGAAAGCTCAAGCGACGATAGTTGACAAGGTAGATGGCAAGGGCATCGGCGTTGTGGTTGGCAAGAGAGAAGGTAAGTTTAAGGTTAGGGATTTTTGGAGATTTGAGTTTTTTGTTGTTGTAATTTTAGAAAAATTAGAGTTTTTTTTTAAATATAATAATATTTTTATTTTTTTAAAAAAAGAATTTAAAATTGTTTGAATGTGGCATGTGTCAACTAACAGTGGAATTTAACGTCCGTTACGAATTAGACACCTAGAGTAGTAACGTTTTTAACGTTAGGCATCTGGACTAACAAAAAAAAAGTTTAGACACCACTAAAAAGAGTATAATTTGAGTATTTTTTTTGTTAAGCCTTATTATTAGTTAATGCACTATATCTTATGAATACCACGTTGATCAATATTCATTTGTACAGTTCTCAAAAGTAGGGTGAACGTTCAAATAGACTCGAGTCGAGTTAAAATTTTTTGAGTTATTTGAGTTGTTGAGTCTCATTTTATAATTCAAATTTGATTTGAAGTTTTTTCGAGTTTATAAATTCAAGTCAAATTGAGTCGAGTTTCTGTTTAAATTTAATAGTAAATATTTATGATATTATTTGATTCTAATTTAAATAGTCTTCTATTATATTATATATATATATATATATATATTTCTTCATATTTTTTCATGATTGATAAACATAGTAAAATCTAAAAATCCTCAATCTGAAACTATAAAATTGTGTTGTTAATCCGATTTCATTCATAGGGTGCTGAGTCAAAAGTCGATAGCCTCTCATCTTGTACATAGTCCACCCCATTGAAACGAACTATTTTAATTCTTTAATTGTAACATACATAATTCAACTAGTAGACTTATGTCTTTATATAGTCTTTAGAAATCTAATTCAACTTAAAGTAGACTTTATCAAATATATATTATTTTAAAATAAATATTTTTTTTTTAAAATATCATTAAAAGAGTTATCTCTTTTAAATATAAACAACATATTTCAATTCTAATTAAGTTCTATTATAATATATAAATAATATATATTTTTTTCAGTGAACATCTTCTAATTTTCGACTCTTAATCTCAACAATCTATTTGCACTCATCAAACAGTCCTCAATCTGTGTAAAACTAAAAAAGTTTTACATTGTATAACACTATCTTATCCCTATAGATATATATGATCCACTTACTTAATATAAATTTTCAGTATATTTTTTAAAATTTTTACATATATTTAGGATCATTTGATGAGTAAAAATAGAAGACTGAGATTAAATCTTTATTTTTTTTCCAACGAATATCTTCTCATTTTCTACTATCATCTCATATCTATTTTCATTTATGTAAAACTAAGAAGTTTTATACACTATAATTGGATCATATTCATATATATATATTTAAGACCGTTGAATGAGTGAAAATAAACGTTGAGATTAACAGTAGAAAATGAGAAGATATTCACTCTAATAAAAAACAATGAGTTAATCTGATCAATCTATTTTCACTTATTTAACAGTTCTAAATTTGTGTAAAACTAAAAGAGTTTTACGTTGTGTAAGTGAATCATAACCCATATATATAAAGTTTTTGGTGTCAACAAGTTAAGGGATAACCTAAAAGGTAAAGTACACAAATAGTTATCCGACTATAGGCGTTGCTTTGTTGAGTCTTTTGACTATTAAAAGTTACAAAATGATCATCTAACTATATAACGTTGCTTTGTTGAGTTTCTTAACTATTAAAAATTACAAAATAGTCATCAAACTATTTATATGTTCCAAACATATCATTTTTCAATAAAAATTGACAGTCATCTAAGATAGACGTTAACATGATGCTTAAAATATGATAGTCTTTTAAGATTATAAGATCATATTTTAACATATCTCAATGAGTAGTTTAACGTCTAGCTCATATTGCCGTTAATTTTTTTAACAAAAAAGGATGAGTTTAGAACATATAAATAGCTGGATGACAATTTTATCATTTTTAATAGTCGAGAGACTCAACAAAATAACGTCCTACAATTAAAGGACGAGTTTATAACTTTTAATAGTCGATAGACTCAACAAAACAACACCTTATAATCAGAAGACCATTTATATATTTAACCCTAATATAAAATCTATCATTGTCTACCAAGCAAGCACATAGCAGACATCCAAAAAAAAAGCACATAGCGCACAGACTAGAACCACTACCACATCGACTGCTATAAACTCAATTCGGAATCAACAACTGATTGTTGAATTATTAGCTTTTATATATCATTTAGTATAAGAAGAAGAAGAAAAAGAAGATGATGGGCGTTTGAAATTGAAACCCTAGCCCTATACAGATTTGATAAATGTTGAGGAGAATGAATGGCGTCGTCTCTGCTCGGCCTCTCTTCTTCCACTTCACTACTGCTACTCCCCTTCACACCCACCCTCCGATAGACTCAACAAAACAACATCTTATAATCAGAAGACCATTTATATATTTAACCCTAATATAAAATCTCTCATTGTCTACCAAGCAAGCACATAGCAGACATAAAAAAAAAAAGCACATAGCGCACAGACTAGAACCACTACCACATCGACTGCTACAAACTCAATTCAGAATCAACAACCGATAGTTGAATTGTAACCCCCTAGACCCAACCTATGCGTTTCAACTAAGTCTAGTGGATCACATTCATGATTCTTAAAGATATTTTTCCGAAACCATTATTCAATCAAGGTAAAATCACATTATAAATGATGTTTATGAAATTATAATAATTTATACTATAAAACACAACCCATAAATATAATAAAAAAACCAATTAATTTAAACATATCTTAAAAATCCAAATTTACGATAAACCAAATATAAATAGCAAAAGAGTAATCATTATAAAATCAATACTTTAAAATAAGGCCCATGTTACCAAAATAGTGTCATCTTAAAAGATAAAACATTACAATACGATATACTTCAAGAGATATGTCGATCCTCCAAGTGCTCGATCAGGTGAATCTAACCAACAATATCTGAAAGGAGAAAACATTTTCGAAAAGTGAGCTAGGCTCAGTGTGTCCCAACATTACTATAAAATCATGATAGGTACCCTAAACAAATCATAGTCCAGTAAATCTCATAAAAATTATACTGCAGTAAATCCCATAAAAGAGTTACCCTAAAGGAACATCTTAGGGCCTGAGAGCCTACCCAAGATAGATTTCGGGGCCATGGGGCCTACCTAAGAACACATCTTAGGGCCGCAGGGCCTACCCGAGAATGATCTCAGGGCCGCAGAGCCTACCTAAGAGTCATATTAGGTCCGTAAAATTTTCCAGCTTGATCAGAGCTGTACTTTATAAATTCGTATTCCAAAAATTCAATTGCACCGTGACATAAATTCCATAAATCCATAAACATGGTAATCATATACCATTTCAAAACAAAATCAGATAGCGGTCATAATCCATAAACCATTACATTAAATCGGTGCATCAATAAAACAGTAACCCAAAGAATTCGGTGTACCACATATTAAAACAAATAAAGCAGTTCAGTAATAAATATGGAACACACCTCGATAATAGGTTCAAGTAGTAGATCTACTGATTGCTGGTCTCATCACGCTCTGCTACAATTTTCGAACCTAATTTATAATAACACTATATTACTAATGGGTAACATAATTAATCTCTAAAATCATAAAATTTACGGGTCTTTCGGGTGAATACTGGCACACGTGGTTTAACTGATCTAGAAGAGCTAGGTCGAGCTGTCGAACGATCCGAAGAGTCTCTTGTACCTTCAAACAATAATAATTTATCAACCTCAAGTCTTACTTAATCTATCAAAGCTAAAATTCTTAAGTATATAAACATTTTCCGGGTTTGACTATTAATTTGGAGGATTTTGAGTCTGAATTTGACCAAACGGATTGCGGAATCAGAATCAGGACGTCGAAAAACATAAAGTATGACTTTTCGAAAATTCAAATTCTTGGTCAAAGTCAAAGTCAATGGGTTTGACTGATGATTTGGAGGTCTTCAGGTTCAAATTTGGCGAAACTGACTTCAGAAACGGATTCGACACGTCGAAAAATGTTAGAATAGGTATCCTCAAATAAAATCAAAGGTTGTTTAATGGCCGGTCAAAGTTATGGTCAAAGGTGTTCAATAGACCAGAGTCAAATATTACGAAAATATCATTTTTTTAATAATTACCAAAATATAACCGTTTTAAATATAATTACCAAAATATCATTGTTTTTAAATAATTACCAAAATATCACTATTTTTAAAATAATTACCAAAATATCACTGTTTTTAAATAATTATCAAAATATCACTGTTTTTTAAATAATTACCAAAATATCATTGTTTTAAAATAATTACCAAAATATCATTGTTTTAACAATAATTACCAAAATATCACTGTTTTTAAATAATTATCAAAATAGCACCCTTTTAAAAATAATTACGAAAATAACACT